CTTCTTTCTTGTGAATTTTTGGAAGAGAATAAAAAGTTGGAATCCTTGGGAAGCTAGTTCGAATGAAGTCCCAAGTAATTTTAGTGATAATGCCATTCAGAAATGCAGTATCGACCAACTCATAAAATTGGTTATTGAATTTGTCAATCACATCTGATGAGATCCAGCGATACCAATTTCAGTTGCAAATGTAGCTGCATATAACCCATGGTAAAGACTAAGGAACCTGTTTTCTGTACTATATTCCAGGAAATTAATTTTACTGGTAGGTCAAGAATCCTCTTTTACAATACAAAAAAATAATTTATATTTAACGTTAAAATGTATGCCCATTCAATTTTATCTTTATTGAACAGTACAGGACATAGGAATTAATAGACCGTGGGTTGTATGCCTCCATCTTCAGGTGATTTAACACTGGCAAAAGCTTTACTAGTTACGCCCCTTAGTGTCCCCATATAACCCCAACCAATTCGTTAGGCTCCAGTTTTTTTGCTAATATTTTTTTCATTATATTTATTTACCTCCATTGATTGACACTTGTATCAAGATGTGACTGCTTTCTGCCTTTATGGCTCATTAGCAGTTTTTTAGATCAATAACCCTTGAGCAAATGTTGGGGACTGTATTTGGACCCTGCAGTTGCATGGCTGGCCTGTAATAGTATGTACTTCAAGCACTTTGTGCATTCTGCACTCACCTTGGTATGTTGTGTAATGAGTGTAGCTAGCTGCAGGGTGCTATACTTATCCAAGGCTGTGGTCCACCCCTATGGCACCTAGATCCTGTAGACCCATTTAAGGGTATGCCCACCGCAAAGCCTGGACAGGAGCAGCGATACGGACAAGGTAAGACGAGCCTTACTTGAACCCTTTTACATAGCGATTTCTGGCTTACTATACATGTGTTGATGGCCCTGTAGTATATACTACCTCCTTATTCCACAAGGCGTACTGCTGTACTGTGCACACAGGTTGCTCTAAGGGCACAGGTACAAGAGAAACTTGTACGCTTAGTGTTTTTCCCTTACTGTACTGTCAGAATATCAAAGATGCTTACTTTCGCATCCTGTACTTCCGGCCTCACCAATGGTTCCTATGATTCACCACTCATTCGTGGCATTGCCTTTCAGCCTGTCCATGACCCGCAGAGTTTTTTTTTACGGTGTTGGGGTCACTAAAGATTGTTATGTGGGATAGCTGGATGACCTGCTGTTCAGGGAGCATTCTAGTCAGAAACTGACATCAAAAGTCTAGCCGACAGTACTTCTGGAGAGGTAATTTGGGTGTTGAATCTCTAGAATCCAGCCTTGGTTTGATGGATCTGCAGTACTTAGGCCTGACACTCGACACAGTTCAGGAAAAGGTGCTGCTTCCACAGGGAAAATGCCTGTCTATTCGAGCCCAGGTTGGAGTCCTTTAGGTTGTTGAAAAGTCTCTTGATTTGGACCTGCATGCAGGTGCTGGGGAGGGTGGTAGCCACTTTGAAGTGGTCCCCTAGGTCCAGTTTCACTACAGAGTTTTACAATGCCATATTCTGTTAGCATAAAACAAACTTTGGGAGTCCTTGGATCTGCCAGTGTATCTGATTCCCAAGTCCAGGTTGACTCTGGAATGATGGATATCCATGCAGATGCTGGATACTGGAAAAATGTTCCTGCCCTTGAAATTGGAAGATCTTGATGAGGAGCTGAACTTGCTGATCGGCATTCTGAAAATTTGGGCTGTTTGGCCGGCTCTCCCAGATTGGTCTGATTGCCTTCGGTATCTTCCTGTCACGGAGCAGTGTCATATATCAACCATCAGGAGGGACGTGAATTTGTGCTGATCTTGACTTGGGAAGACCTTTACATTTTCCCTGATCTATACCTTCCCTCAACTGCCCTCAACTGCAGCTTTTTCCTCACTTATTGCACAGGATAAAGATGGAGGACATTTTAATGATTTCAATTAGTATTGGCCAAGGAGAATGGACATCACAAACTTTTTAACAGACAATCTGTGGGCTCACCCAGACTATCCAGATTTTCTGTCCAGTTTTCCATCCTGCTCTATGGTCGCTGGCTTTAATGGCATGGCTGTTGAAGCTCAGTTTCTGATGGATAAGGGACTTTCTGATTCTGTAATCTCTATTCTCCCCAAGGCAAGGGTGTTGTTTTTTTTTTTTGTTTTTTTTTTGTTTGTTTTTTTTCGTCTGAGCAAAGTTTTATGTTTGTCCAAGAATGCTTGAATCCTGTTACTGTTGACTGACTCACTGTCTCTGCTGGAAGTCTACACCAAGCATCAACTACTCTTTTGGTAAAATATCACTTTCTAAGATTAGTTTGAACTTTCTTCCTGTTAGTTTAAGGTCATTTCCCCTTGTTCTTGATCTTAACTTCATATTGAAAATATTGCCCTGCTGAACCTTATTCACCCCCTCAATGTATTTAAACATTTCAATCATATCTCCTCTTTCCTCCAAACTGTACATATGAAGTTTCTGAAGTCTCTCCTCTATGTTTTATCCCTCAGATCTTTCGCTATATTTGTTGCTTTTCTCTGGACTCCTGTCTTATATCTTTTTGTAAGTGAGGTCTCCAGAGCTGGAAACAGTATTCTAAATGAGGTCTAACATGAGATCTCTAAAGTGAAATCAGGACCCCCTTCCTCTTCTGGTAACCCCTTTAAGCACTGCATCCTAGATAAGGTGGTGTTATGGCCTTTGGTCTACTTTCCTACCTATGGTGGTTTCTTAATTCCACCTGAATTGGGACAATTTGTTGCCCTAATCCTAAACCACACAAGAAGGTGCTTCACTCTTTGGGTGATGATTGAATTTATTGGAAGGCTATTGATTAATTTCAACAGTGAATCCCTGATTTTTTTTTTTAACCTGAGGTCCTCCTCCTTCCACTGTATCTAGGTGGATTTGTCAGTTCACTTCTCAGGCCTATGGCTTCTAGGGCATGGTTCCTCTTTTTTGCCACTCGAGGCCCATTCCACCAAGAATGTTGGTGCTTCCTGAGCTATTCAGCATCAAGCTTCTTTTCGAAAAGTCTACCAGTTAGATGTTTACGCCTTTGTGGAAGCCAGTTGTAGGAGTAGGCTCCTCCCATTTTCTTTTTGGATGTGTTGGACTTCTCAGATATCTCAGGTAGTCTTGAATATTAACTGCTCTATTCTGTTATGTCTGATTAGGAAATTAGGATTTTTGGTTTAACTGTAAAATCTTTTCTTGGAGTACATCACAGGACACAGAGATCCCTGCCCTCTGTATGTTTTTATTGATTGCTAAAAACTAAGGTTAGCTGAAAGGGAAGGGTTTATTTCTGGGCAGGATTCCTGCCTTTTTTTTCTTACCAGTGTCCAATTGCCTGAAGGTGGCAACCTGACCCAACTGTCATGAATATTAACTCCTCAGTGTTCTTTGATGTACTGTAATAAACCAAAAGGTACAAAAGCTCTGCAATTGCAGCCATTACAATACAAGCTTTTTATTATGATTTTTTTTTAGTAAATTTCAGATTTAGTTTGAAATTGGTGTTCCTTTTTTAATGTATGATTTTATCGTCAAATAAAAATACACATACTTGTTTTAAAGTGCAAGTCTGCCCAACGTGGGATTATTCTGTTTGAACTAGTTAAAATGTTATTAAAACCCAAAATATAATATATTGCAGATTACCAATCATTAGATATAGTGGCTGCATCAGTTTTTTCACGGCCGTTTCACACCATGCCCACACAGGTGTCGAACAGGAACGTGCTGTGCTTTCCTGCACAAATCACCTGCAGGTCTTTGTGGTGCGACTTCAGACCATTTATTTTGAATGGGCTAAAATCGCACTGCACCAAAAGTAGTGCATGCGCTATGTTTAGAAACGCACTGCGACTGAATCGTATAGTACTTTTGTACCAGGCTGTGCAGGAAAACACACTCTGTCTCTGACTTGTATTTGGGGTGTTATTAACCTACTATTGACACCAGGTGCAGATCGCATTTGCAGTGCGTCTTGAACGAGGTCAGGAAGCGAGCACTGAGCGTGGGTTTCCCATACTGCGTTCTGGTGTGAACCGGCCCTTAGGCTCTTCTCCCTCTGTTTTCACCTGGTGATCTGGCCAGTAACACACCTCCTGTATTAGAGTGCCCCCACTCTGAATGAAAGAGCACAGGGAGGGGGTACATTGGACAGCAGCATTGTCAGTGTGAGGGGAGTGTTAAATAAAGCAGTTTTGGGATAAAGGTTTTACATTAATAAAAACTGACTATTTTAAGTACCCTTGTCAGTCATAAATGGTTTGATTAATACTTTTAACTGCAACTTTGTCTGGTTTATTAATGTAAGTTTAAAAAAAGACTTATTGGCTGGATCACCAAGTGAAAATAAAGGAAAAAAGCCTTAAAAAAGAAAACTAGTGCAGACATCACATCTATGCATTGGTAAGTTGCAATTCAATAAATTTCTGTTTTTGAGTTTAATAGCACTTTTATTGATTTTTTTCTTTTTTTTTTCTACAAGTATTTTTTTACTTGTGAAGCATTGTTTCATTACTGCTTCAAATAACTATTTTTCCTGCTGTATTTATTCAACAACTGATTAACCACTTGCCTACAGAGCACTTATACGCCCTTCCTGCCCAGGCCAGTTTTCAGCTTTCAGCGATGTCGCACTTTGAATGACAATTGCGGGGTCATGCAACACTGTACCTATATGAAATTTTTATCATTTTTTTGAAACAGAGCTTCTTTCTTTTGGTAGCATTTAATCACCTCTGGGTTTTTTTATTTTTTGCTAAACAAACCAAAAACCACTGAAAATTTTGGGGAAAAAAAAGTTTTTTCTTAGTTCTTGTTATAAAATTTTGTAAATAAGTGATTTTTCTCTTCACTGATGTGTGCTAATGAGGCTGCAGTGATGGGCACTGATAGGTGGCACTGATGAGGAGGCAGTGGTAGGTGGCACTGATGGGCATTGACAGGCATTACTGATGGACACTGAAAGGCAGCACTCATATATGGCACTGATAGGCAGCACTGACTTGCACTGATAGGCGGTACTGATTGGCAACACTGATAGGTGGTGCTGACTGGCATTGATAGGTGGCACTGAGAGGTGGCAATGAATGGCAGCTCAGATGGGCACTGATATGTGGCATTGTGCACTGGTAGGCACTGATATGTGGCATTGATGTGGCACTGATGGGCACTGGCATGTGGCATGGATGAGCACTGACAGGTGGCACTGCTAGGGCCACACTGATTATCAGGGCACACTGATCATCAGTGCCCTGATGATCTGTGTACATGTCCCCTCTGAAGGATGCCGATTACCGGCTCTGCTCTCTTCTCGAGCTGTCAGCATGACCGCTTGTGAGGAGAGAAATGCCAATAACCGGCATTTCCCTATTTACATGGATCAGCTGTGATTGTACACAGCTGATCACATGACCAAGCCGACATCTTCGGCTCTTTCCGTTGATCGGTAATCCGCTGTGTCTGAGGGACACAGCGCTCCACCGATTGCCGCTCTGCACTCTTAGAATGGGAGGTCGTCATATGACGTCCTCCCAGAAAGAGAGAACCACCTTGCGGCCGTCATTACCTTATATGGCGGGTGGGAGGCTGTTAAAGGATTAGGTCACCTTTAAAAATAAATAAATAAATGCACTTTTTTTTTTTTTTGCAAGTAAAAGTTGGTGGTTTAGCCGCTGTTTTTACCACCCACCCCACTGACCACCCATCTACCTACTTAAACGCAGAAATGCAGCTGGTTAGGGCTGTACATAAGCTGCGTCTGCTGTGCTTTGCTCCATGGGTGTGTCAAAAATTAAATGGCATATTACATTCAGTGGAATGTGGAATATGCAATGCACTTGGATGGAGCACGGAGGCTCAGCATTTTGAGGATAGAGCATACTGCTTCCTAAATGCATGTCAGAAGTCCTCTAAAAAGTGATCAACTGGATCTCTCTTCAGAGGGGTGGCAGTATTGCCAAGCGTGTGAATTATATGATAACTAAAACCATTTATAATGTGCTTTGGTGAATCAAGTTTTAACTTCTCTATGTTCTTGTAATATTCCTAATACTGTATGAAAACAGTATTTTTTTTTATTATTATTATTCCTTTTTGCATAGTTTACCTGCTGAGATAGTCCTGGTCCTTCAACATACAGTAACATCCTTCTGAAGTAATAAAAATTATTAACTGTTTAAAAAGACATTCAAATGATCCCTGGCTGATTACATCTCTTACTGGACTGCACTGTCATGTAAAGCACTGCAGAGATCAGTGATCATTTGCAAAGTACAGTCCATATTAAACTTGGCTAATAGTCTTCATTCTGCTGTATCCAGATTGATCAAAAATTCTAGTTTATATCTTTGACTCATTGACTACCTGTATGAGTAAAAAAAGACACATGCAGACCTTGCCAATAAAATCCTGAAAAAACTGAGTTGGATAACTTCACAGAAGCCTCTAGGAAGCTTTTTGGGTGGTTTAGCTCATATAATGCATGGGCTCTTGTATGGAGAGTTTGTAACAGCAAGAATTCCTTTTGTACAAACACCTGTTGACTGGCTCCATAAAACAACCTTGTAGGAACTTTAAAACACTGTACTGTATTGCTAGCCATACACTGAAAAAAACGTTTGAACAGGTTTTTTTTAAAAACGAACACACGTTTGTAAGAGCAAACGATAATGCCATCACGTAATGACCGAATTTCGAATTATAAATCGTTCAATGAACATAAATGAATCAGTTTTTTGTCCATTTTTGCGTCTGGGTCACATATGAGCAGTACCAACAGTTCGCCATTTTTAACGGATGAGAAACAGAATAACCTGTCAACTTATTGTCTGTTCACCAGAAGTTTTCCAAACTTTTCCTTTTGATTTCGTGGCTCAAAGACATCACCGATGTTCAATTTGTGCCCCATGAACAATTTTTTGTCTTGTGTATGGGTACCATATGTCATTTATGACACTGGTTGGAAATCTCCTCCCTGGGGAATTAATTGATGCAGTAGTTAACCATGAAGGCCTAGTTTATTTGTAGTCAGAATGAAAACCTGACAGGATTATGTGTCTAAATTAATTTATTAAATGCATAATCTGTTTGTTTGAAAAAGCAGCTGCAGCATATTGTACCTAATAGTTTCCATATACTTTTTTGTAATCTCTAGTTTCTGGTAAAATTGAGCTGCTACGCCAGAGGATACAGGACCAACAAGAACAAATCCAACAACTGAAGAGTTCAGCTAATGAGCTGCGAGCAGAGAAGCTTCAGATTTCCAGCAATCTTCAGCGTCGCCAGCAATTAGAAGAGCAAAGTGTGGAGATGACCACTGAGCTGCAGTGCCTGTCCAGAGAGATAAGGGTGAGAATACCGTGGAGTGGCCAACTCATTAAATGCTGATAAATGGGTCATACAAGAATGTCTGTCTATTGGCGCATTCACACTGATGAGTAACAGTAATACAATATAAAACACGCATCTTGCCACATATTACTGCAGCTCACATTAATGCACCCAACTAAATGCAATGCATAGCTGTGGTATGTAATTAAAGTAGAACCGTACTCCAACACACCTAGCTGGCACACAGCCCCACATACACATTTTAGTGCACCACAACACACTGATGTAAACCACGTACTTTACCACTGTGGTAAGGCAGCCTATTCAATGTAAACTATCTGTGTGGTGTTGTGCATTGGTTTGACAAAAAAGCTGCAGGTCCATTACAATCTGTGCTGTGATACATTGGCAGTGCATTCAAAATGAATGTTCTGTCTTACGGCAGCACGCATTAATGCAATTGGAGCAATGTGTAGTATTAGAACAATGTCAGTGGGCACTGTAACGTTAAGGTAAACTTGCAAATGAGGCTTTGAGTGGAAATTTGTATTTCAAAATATTTCTTTAGGTAAATACATGTCATGATTTCCAGACTTCCAAATGGGAGTACAAGTGTATTATTAAACTAGATTATTAAAACATTAATTTCACCTTTGATTCTCTTTGCGGAGAGACTCTATTGCTCCAATGGTGATATTGGTAATGGAAATGCTTTTATTTCTGATTATTTTTGTGTGTGGTAGAAACAGGAATTTTATAACAGTGTCACATCTGAAATAAAAAACAATTGAAGGTGTCATATCTGTTTTTTAATCTAATTATTATGAATTGTCCACAATGCTTTTGCTGTTGTGTTTCTTCAGAAGCAAATGCCAGCCAGCTATTTTTTTCTTGTTTTAATTGTACAAAAATAAGTATGAGCAGCATGAGTGGAGACCGTTTTTGAAGTTCCTATTGAAATTTAGAGTGAACAAATGCATTCTCAACAAATTCTGCAGAGGATGTGGGTTTTCTTGAATGCAAATATATGCAATTATCAGATTGTCTGCCATGTTCTGGGTACATAAGAAATACATCACAGGTTTCTAGAAAGTATATTTATTTTATTTGTCATTGTTTGATAACCCTAATGGTTTGTACAGCGATGGAGTGATTCCACCTAATTCAGCAAATTTGAAACATACCAAATGTTTTAAATCCTCAAAAAAGCAATTACATAGTTAGTCTGGCTAAAAAAAAGACAAATGTCCATCTAGTTCAACCATTAAAAAAATATTCTTCACGTATAATCCACATGTAAACTGATTATTTTGGTGTATATACATATACTGCGGACACAGTACAGGGGATGACCAGAGACTGCGGACACAGTACAGGAGATGACCAGAGACTGCGGACACAGTACAGGAGATGACCAGAGACTGCGGACACAGTACAGGAGATGACCAGAGACTGCGGACACACACCGTACAGGAGATGACCAGAGACTGCGGACACAGTACAGGAGATGACCAGAGACTGCGGACACAGTACCAGGCGGAGTACAGAGATGACCAGAGACTGCGGACACAGTACAGGAGATGACCAGAGACTGCGGACACAGTACAGGAGATGACCAGAGACTGCGGACACAGTACAGGAGATGACCAGAGACTGCGGACACAGTACAGGAGATGACCAGAGACTGAGGACACAGTAAAGGAGATGACCAGAGACTGCGGACACAGTACAGGAGATGACCAGAGACTGCGGACACAGTACAGGAGATGACCAGAGACTGCGGACACAGTACAGGAGATGACCAGAGACTGCGGACACAGTACAGGAGATGACCAGAGACTGCGGACACAGTACAGGAGATGACCAGAGACTGCGGACAGTACAGGAGATGACCAGAGACTGCGGACACAGTACAGGAGATGACCAGAGACTGCGGACACAGTACAGGAGATGACCAGAGACTGCGGACACAGTACAGGAGATGACCAGAGACTGCGGACACAGTACAGGAGATGACCAGAGACTGCGGACACAGTACAGGAGATGACCAGAGACTGCGGACACAGTACAGGAGATGACCAGAGACTGCGGACACAGTACAGGAGATGACCAGAGACTGCGGGACACAGTACAGGAGATGACCAGAGACTGCGGACACAGTACAGGAGATGACCAGAGACTGCGGACACAGTACAGGAGAGATGACCAGACTGCGGACACAGTACAGGACATGACCAGAGACTGCGGACACAGTACAGGAGATGGACCAGAGACTGCGGACACAGTACAGGAGATGGACCAGAGACTGCGGACACAGTACAGGAGATGACCAGAGAATGCGGACCTTTGGGGAGGGAGGGGGAGCGGGTACCTGAACTTGACAGGTACCCCCTCCCACTTCCGTGGAGTTGTCCTTCCCTTTTCTTCCCGCGACGGCTTCTGTGACAGCAGGGTGCCCACTGTGCATGCGTGAGAAGCGCTGCTCTTTGTGAATGGCCCGACGCCTTCTGGGACCTGTCATGTGTCCCAGAAGACACCGGACCATTCACAAAGCGCAGCGCTTCTCTCGCATGCGCAGTGGGCACCTGGCTGTCACAGAGGCCGGCACGGGAAGACTACAGCGCTGGAGCGAGGAACAGGTAAGGTCCTGCAGGGGAGAAGAGCTGAGCGGCCGGCCTGGTATTCTGACATGGTGGCAGCAGAAATACCGGACCGGCCGCTTTATATTTGCTCCATAAGACGCACTGACATTTCCTCCCCTTTTTTTGGGGAAAAAAGTGTGTCTTATGGAGCGAAAAATACAGTACATACTGTATACCACATACCTAGATTAAGAAATCATGCAGGTTCACTTAGAATAAATATATTATTGCACACTTCCTAGATGGTCTATAGAAGAGGTTTTTTTTATCCAGGATATCTGAAGCTTCCAGCCATGGCCAGCAGTAGGGTTCAGGATTCCAAGGAGTGGTGCTCTCATATCAGTGAAGCACCCATATGCAATTTCCTCAGGAAGGGGGATGTGTGCCTATCACTGACAGTGGGTTATGGAGATGGCCATCTCCGCTGTCAGGCTAGCTGCAATGTGTGTCTATCACTGAGTGGATTATGGAGATGCCCATCTCCGCTGTAAGACTAGGTGCATTCTCTCATCATTACAGCATCTGTATAGCAGTGTCGTAAAGCAGGTGAGTTTGTCTCTGTCACACGGACATGAGTTTACAGGGATTCCAGTTTGTGCTGACAAACTCATTGTAGTCTCTTAATGTTTCACCTACCAATGGCAATGTGTTCTGGGGTGGATCCCCTTGTCAAACCAGCCCGTAGCAACACCATGGATGGCCAGAACTTGCTCCTGCATCAAGCAGTATGGCTGTGGGGAGGTCAGGGGAATCCTACCCTTCATTATTTACTCACATCACAATCTTTCCCACACACCTAAGCTTTACTGCAGGAAACCAATACCTTTCATTTTTTACCCTTTTGTACTCTCTTCAGCACCAAGGGTCTTCAGAAAGGTGCTGACTCCACTCCTGATCCTGCTAAGATGTTACAATTCAGCTCCCTCAAACTATTGGATGGATGATCAACTTTAAATAGTCTTCACTTCGCTCAGAGCACCTGGAACTAATTCTAGATATGACCCAGGCCAACATTGCTTCTCTGAGATCCAACATCTCCAGACCCCTACAGCTCAATATTCTTATGGTGTGGAACAAACTGATCCCTTCTCTGGATTGCCTACTACCTCTATCCAGCCAGCTGAAAATTTCCCTGACATTTTTGATTTCCAACTCAGCCATAGATTCTGTATAAGTGTTCCTCCCCTCTCCCGTGGTGTTAAGGACAGCCCTTTGCGGTGCATGCCACGATCGCTCCATGCACCTCTTTCTGTCTGGTTTATGCATTCCTTTCAGTGAAGCTTCTCTCTCAATTGCTTTACGAAATTAAAGGGATATGGATGCTGATCATCTTTCTCACCCCAAATTGGCCTAGGAGAACCTGTACACAGACATATATTCAGACTCCTGATGGAAGAACCTTGGCCTATTCCAAACATGCCTCCTGTCTCCACCTCACAGAGTCCTCTATTCAGCCCTATTTCACAGTTGCTGGATTTAACAGCATCCCTGTTGAAACCCAGGTCCTAAAAGATGGGGACATTACTAATTTTTCCATTCCCACCTTGGTACTGTAGTTCTTAGGAGAAGTAGATTTTCTCACTTTGAGCATTCTACTTGGAAGGCCTGTTTTGGCTGCTGTGAAAGCAGACACCTCAGCACACAAGAATGTTATATTCCTTGCATCTTAGCCTTCCTCCAGTCTGGTCTAGACCAGCATATAGCACTTGGTAGTCTTAAGGGACAGGTTTCTCCCTATAAATTCTGTTTCAAAAATGTTTTGCTTGACACACTTAAAGACCTTTACTTAAGGCGTGGCTCATGTTAATCCTAATTACCACTGTCAGGTGTGTTTTCTGAGCTAGCAACATTCATGTAAAAAAAAAACCTTTTTTTTTTTTTTTTTTTTACTCTGAGACCAAGACCTTAATTTCTTCCCATGGTGGTATCTTTCCCATGGTAAGGATAAACTTTCTCCCTCCCCTTTTTCCTGCCCGGAAGCAGACCTATAAGAGTCAACTCTATTGTCCCGATGTAGATAGAGCAGTTAAGGTGGGTACACACTACAATCTACCCAGTGGCCTGAAAAAAAAAAACAGATCGCCTCACTAACACAAGAGATGTTAGTGCAGCAACCACCAACCCCCCTCCCCGCTGTGCCTTTGGATTGTAAGAGACACAAACAACCCCCCACCGCTGTCAGAACACACTGATCAGTGCTCATAAGACCAGCTTCTGTGGAACAGAAAGCTGTATGCACAGGCCAAAAGTCATCCAGTTTCTGCCAAATCAACCATTTTCGGATGAATTTTCCTGTGCAAAAAATTGATTACCTTTTTGTCTTCCCGGAATGTCCCAAGAAGGATCTTCCTGCTTTCTCTTCCACCATAACGATGTGTCTCAGGCAATTCATTTGTAGGGCTTATACCCTCAAGAAAAGGGTCCTCCCTTCCCTATCAGGGCCCACTTCAGATCTGTTATTGTTTTTTGGGCTTTTCAGCATCAAGGATTTGTTTCAACTGTCACCTGGTCTTCAGCTCATACCTAATTTTACCAAGTGAATCTCCAGGCTTCTACTGATATGAGCTTCGAGCCAAAAGGTGCTTGAAGCTGTAATTTGAGAGTTTTCAGTCCATGACTCTTGTTTCCTTCTGAGCCTGTTTGCTGGTTTTTGCTACTGTTGCCCACCCATCAGTTTATTGCTTGGGGGCGTCCCATGGTCTGTGACTACGCATCCTGTGTCCTGTAATATATAATTAAGATAACAGGAATTTTGACTTGCCTATAAATTCCACATCTTGGAGTATAGCAAAGGACACTAGTCTTTGTTCTCTTTTACTCCTTATTTTGCTACAGAATTGGAGTTGAGTTTCACAGAGTGTGTGGCGTTATATGAGGATGCAATGGGGGGCCATTACCAACAAAACGTTTGTCGGTGTCCATTCATTTATAGGTAGCAGTATATAACCTGTTGTGTATGACTACAAATCCTGTGTCCTATACTATACTCCATGATATGTAATTTACAGGTAAGTCAAAATTCCCATTTTTTCTCATCATTGAACCTCCTTTCCTTCAATGTCAAGCATTAGGGATATGAAGCTTGGATCATCCCATGTTGACCAGGTGGTCTTTTCTTATGATGGACCTGTTTGATTGTCCAAATTACCCATGGGAGTCTTGTTATCCTGGGACTTGTGCCAGTGGTTTGTTCCATTGACCCCATCTCAATGTTGGTCTAGTTCTCTTCCCTTTCCGGTGTTTGTCCCACCTGTTTTTGGATTGTTGACTTGCTCTGTTATTCTGTAGCTCAGGTTCAGTGTTTTTCAGGTAGTGTCATTTCCTTGACAGTGATATCTCTGTCCAGGTCTGGAGCACTAGGTTGGTCTTCTGCTGCCTGCTCTTGGTCATGACTGTTCAGCTGTCCTGCTAGGGCCTTATCATCTGGCTCAGATTCGGGTCTTGGTACTTCTAATTAACAGATGGTTTGCAAAATTCTTGGGTCTGTCAGTGGGTGTTGCTTTTGTATGTCTACATTCTTTCTGAATTCCTATGTGCTCAAAGGCCAAGAAAAAAATACGAACCTATGATTTTTAGCTATCTGTAAACAAGGGATTCTTCCCAGTGCATACAAAGGAACACTCTTCCCAATAAAATCACGCTAATGTATTTTTAGCTGTAGACATAGTAGTTATTAGCAGAGCATCCCTGATAACAGAAAATTATTTCAAAGGTTCCTCCATGTTAAAGAAGTTGAGAAAGGATGGATTATATGAAATTATATTTATTGATGCCAACATTTGAACTGGAAAAAACATTGATAACTAATTTGGCAAAGGTGTTTTTTTTATAACAACCAAATATGCTGCTAAGTTTTTAGACTGGTAATCAAGACAAGTCAGACCTGATCATTATAAGAAGCAACTCCATTTTGTTCTCCATTTTTATAAAAATGCTTTCTATTTTTGTTTTTTCATTGAATATTTTAAAGGGAATGCTCAAGTTATATATTGTAAAATTGAGCCTTTGTGTGATCTCTGAAAGTCTGCTATAAACAACTGACTTCCAAGATTACTAAAAGCAGTTATTCTAACCAATAGAAACTTAAATGAGGCAGAGGATATTTCATACTGCTTTCCCTTAAAGTGCACCTGTGCCCAGACTATGAGCAGTAATTGATTTACATAATTGTTACAAGCAGTAATAGAGCTTTAAAAGAAAGCCATCCCTGGCCTCCGTAGCTGCAGGTAGTGTGAAGTAATTCATCCTCAAAATCACAAAAAGGCTTGAAAGTCAGATTTTTAGTTGGCTTCCTTCTTATCTGTTTGTTAAAAGGTTGGCACTGCCAAGATTCTGCTGAAGTTAAGGTGAAGAGAGTTGTGATTTTTGTGCCTCTTTTTTGTAAAAATTTTTTGGTTTAAAGTTATTTTTACTCTTTTTCTACTTGTTAAAAATCTACAAAAAACTTCATTGTGCATAGTCAGGGCACAGCCTCATTTAATAGTAGAATTGCCCAAATTCACTAAAATCTCCTGCAATTTTTTATTTGTTGTTGCAAATTTAAAATGTAATTTTAATCATCCAAGCACTTTGTGTTGTAAGGTGTCAGTACACTGCTCCCGGTGTGACATTGCAGGAGAGCAACTGGGAAATATGGACAGAGTACTGACACTCATTGTGTATGCATGTTCTGCTGCTAGCATGCTCAAAAAGGTAGTCCTGAAAAATTACACGCAGTAATGCATGCATGTAGACATGAAGCAAATTGACTGTGAGAGGTCTATAGCACTGAAACGCAACAGTGGGGAAAAAAGAGGTAAAACAAATATTTGTGAAAAGAAACATGGCAGTGGTTTATGATACACAGTGGTTTAGCAAACTAAATGCCATTTTTTAGGGTTTACATCTACATTAAGCTTACTGTAAGTTTTGTTGTTGCTACAGAGAAACTTGTCATTTTTTCTTGTTATGCAAAATAATTTACTTTAAAATATTTATCTTCAGGAAGCTCGAGAGCAAGTTTTCCCCCTGGATAATACTATTGAAAAACTTCAGCAGGAGAAGAAAGAAATCCTACAGAGGAAAGACTCCAGCTATAGAGCAGTACAAGAAAGGGTGAATCTTCCATTCATTATGCACTAAAGCCAAACTGAATTTTAAATCTGTTTAAATGCAATGGGGCACATTTATCAAGGAAAATATTGACATGATTGTCATGATATTGAGAACTAGGCACCCCAAAAACTGTGAAAAGACACAGGGCAGCCTGTGGACACAGCTGATCACGTGATACGGTAAACGGCCAATAACAGCGGCCTTTTGCCACGTGATCAGCTGTGTCCAATGACACAGCAGATCACTGGGTACATACAGTTGCCAGTTATCGGCTGCATTTTCCTCACGCTGTCACAGCGTGAGGAAAGTACTGCTGATAACCGGCAATTGTCAGAGAAGTGATCAGCACTGATGATCAGTACCCAGCAGTGCCACCCACCTGTGCCCATCAGTGCGACCCAGCAGTGTCGCCTATCAGTGCAGCATCATCAGTGCCTCATCATCAGTGCTCATCATTGCACCCCTCATCAACGCACATCAGTGAAGGAGAAAAATTACATGTTTGCAAAATTGTATAATAGAAAAAAATTTTTTGCTCCTTTTTTTCTTTATAGCGCAAAAAATAAAACACCCAGTGGCGATTAAATACCACCAAAAGAAAGCTCTATTTGTGTGAAAAAAAATGATAACTTTCATATGGGTGCAATGTAGCGTGACCACGCAATTGTCATTCAAAGTGCGACAGTGCTGAAAGCTGAAAATTGGCCTGGGCAGGAAGGGGGTAAGCCCAGTAGGTAAGTGGTAAAAGTGGTAGTAAACTCCCCATTGTTGTCTTGTACCTAAAGCTTATGCATGGGAGTGACGTCATTGTGGCCAGAGAAGGAAGGAAGACCGGGTGAAGATGGAATCACTGGCAGTGGTGATAGCTTGCCACTGGAGGGAACTGTTTTTTTTTAGGTAAATCTGTTCTTGTATGCAGTGCATACATCACCCTGTGGGGTATCCAGTTTGTTTGGTTTTTTTTTTACGCTGTTTACTACCACTTTAAGCCAGCAATGATTTTTAGAATAGGAGACTCCGAGCTAGCTTACCTCTACAGCTATTGATCCCCTCCCACAACATGGCTGAATAATGCACAAGTTTGTTAGAAGTATACATCTGTCAAGGTTATGAGCACTTTCAAGTGAGGGAATTGGGATTGGGCATCATAAAGCTGATACTGATAGCTGTCCTAACTGATCTGCAAAAAAAACCCTTAATTCCTAAATCAATCAGTTTCAAAATCTACACATACTTCATAAAATTAGATAAGATAAAGCTACCTTACTGTTGATTATATATTTCCGTGTGGAAGAAGATACTGAATGGATCAAGGGCACACATCATTAGGCTATCATATGCAGGAGGTGGAATAAATGCTTATCACCTCCTGTGTGTGTCCTGCCTATCTGAAGGATAACATTTTTTAATTTAATACCTCTAAAATAGCAATTGCATGCACAATAATATGTGGGTTACCCCAGATCATGATGTGGTATATTTACTATATTAATAGTATAAACTAATAATGCATTTAGAAAACTGTATCCGAGGGATTTGCAGCTACATGATCGTAAACACTGTGACATCTCATCAGCCACCCCTCAGACCTCATTGGTCAGATCATTTCAGTCCACACCCTCCTCAGCTACCTAAAAAAGAGATCGCATGAGCAGTCTGGAGCTCTCCTTTTCAATCAAACAGAATATCAGCCAAAATTTACTTTTATCAGAGCCAACACTGATCTATCTTATGCCCACTGAATGGACTACTGGAATCCACAGAACATTTTGCTAAGTATTTTCACTCTTAAACTCTTTGTTTTTCTGTTGCAGCATAGTCTCTTTTTGTTTTTTTTTTAACCTTTTTTGCCTGTTTTCTTATTAAACATTATTCTAAAATCATTAGCATTTTCTTTAATGCACTAAGAACTTAAAGTATCCCGGTCTCTTTGAAGAGTGCTAATATATGGTAAATCTCTGTAATATTCCTGTCATGACAGTGTGCATTACAGACATTACTAAAAGACATAATTGTTACAGTGAATGGTTTTTAATCCGATAAACTATCTGCTGGTAGCAACTGATTTGGGGTGTAACCGGTTAACTATGGAGTAAACTAAACCCAGTGACAATCACTCTCAGTCTGCTGACACTTAGATTTTGGTTCCACAAGCTAGAAAATCCTTGTGCAGAGTGAGCCTGAGAGTTTCATCGTCACATATTGGTGGCAGCGCGGTGTGAATTTGACCAGCCATTGGTCACATGTTGTTTAAGTTGGCTGGGGTCTGACACCAAGTTCCTTACAATAATTAGACGCAAATCAAGCTTCTTCTAGTTTAGCAAAATCTTTGCAACAGTTTTTCTGTATATTTGTGACCACGTGCATCTGTAATCCTGCACAGCCAGATGCAACAGATTTTCAAAAGTCTGCACTAGATTTATGACTGGATGAAACCATTCATTACTTCAAATAGATGAACAATTAAGAAGTGGTCAGTCAGGTGTCATTCTATCCCAGTATTACTTTAGAGCAGACGAGGTAAGAATTTATAAATTAAGCTGTAACTTTGTAGTAAACTTGTCTCAAAATCTGTCTCACTGTTCTTGTTAATTATTGCTTTACTGCAAGACAGAATTTGATGTCTCCCATTGTCCGCTTTCATTCAAATGGTGGAGTAGAGAGTTCTGTTTTCTGCAAGCATGCTGCAAAGAAGGACCCTAGAGCTGTACAGTTGTCAAAGCTCATGCTCCGATGATTGGAGAGCAGTAGTTTTGACTCCTATAAGGCACGTTAATGTGTGTTCATATACATCAAGACGTGCATTTCAACGTGTTGACATAGGTTTTGTTGCATATTTAATAATTTCGTTCATCCAAATTCAACAGGGTTATTCAGCTTAGCAGCTCGGAGCTAGAGGTGATAGAACTACAGGTTTAAATGATGGGATTCATGGGGGGGGGGGGGGGAATTTCCTCTTGTGCTGGTCAAAGTTTGTGTTATGGCTTCTCTTTCTGATTGTTTTTTCTCTCCCTTCTGTAAATAATTTTCTCTCCTATTTCTCTGCAGCTAAATGATATTAAAGAAAGAGTTAAAAAGATCAGCTTGCATGTGAAGGATATAGAAAAGTATACTAGTGATGGAAGAGAAGAATTCAAAGAGGTATGTAATTTTTAATTATTAAAGTAAAATGAATTTACAGGTTGTATGCCTGCTGTAACCTATTCATCTTTTACTTACAGCAAAAGGAAACTGAGCTGCAGGACTTAATAGCACGTCTTAATGACTGTGAAAAGCATAAAGAAGTCATTAACAAAGAAATGATGGCTGTTAGGCAGGATATTGATACCCAAAAAGTAAGTGTTTTCAATACTTATTTACTTAGACCTGTTGCTGCAAATGGATTACTTTACCGAGATTCGAACCTACATTTTCTAAATTAATCTGTTGTACACTGGTGTATAGTATCAGGACAGAATTGCAGTAAGGTTCTGTTGTTGTTGGGAAAAAAAAACCACACACGCACACACACACGCAGAAAATTGCCATCATTACCATTACCTTGTTACGCAGGACTTTTGACCGTTCTTTTCTGATCCCCATGGCTCAGTATCTAGCCTAGTCAGTGCTTCCATGTAAGAGCTAACAAACTCATTGACTATTTATACACTGACACTAATTGCAATTTAGAAAGCCACAGATGTGGGACATTAACCTCTAATTGGCATTTTAACCCGTGTGTGTCACCTTGTGTGTCTGTAACAAGGCCAAACATTCCAGGGGATGTAAACTTTTGAATATGGCCATTTGGGTGATTTCTTTTATTACGATTTTAAAAAGGAGCCAAACAACTTTTGATAATAATTGGCTTCATATGATCATCATCCTTCAATGAAAGAGCATTTTTTTGGCATGATCAGTCATATTTTCAATATCAATGCCAAAATTTCACAATTTCTGCCAGGGTATGCAAACTTTTGAGCACAACTGTGTGTGTGTGTGTGTATGTATATATATATGTATGTGTATATTGGCTTTTAGAATATGTTGTAGGTGTTATACTGCTGCCTACAGGAGCACTGAACGTGGGGAAAACAATAAAATGTTAGAATGTATGTGGAGCGCTATGGGTGTGTAGAAAGGTTATAAGCTGCTGGCACTAAAGAACCGCCCTTGGTATCCTCACTAGTGAATGAAATATAAAAGGTGCAGCGCTAAAGTAATGGATGAATCAAATGAAATATGTCTAAAACATGTGCATATACATAAATAATAAGGTGAATAGAAGCAACAATGGAACGAATAGCAGCAATATTAAAAGGCATACACAGTGAGGTGCTCCGATCAGCGCTACCAGTCTAAAGTGAGAGAGTTCATGAATTATTAATATATCAATATTTAATATGCTGATAAGTGTGGTGATGGTATCCATGACACTGAGTGGTCAGCGTTGGGTGATATAAAATGAATAGTGACTGACAGTGAACATATATCAAATGATAAAATTGCGATAAACAATAGTTATTAAAAAGTTCAGAAAATAAATCCATGAGCAGGTGACATCCAGTGCTGGTGAATCCATGAAAAGTATTCCGCTATATGCACTCACTTGAAGTGCATATAAAATGCGCATGAACAGCTGGTTTCTTCCCCAGGTAAGTCAGTCAGCACACTCATCAGTCATAGGACCATGAAGGCCAGGATGATCTCAGATAGGGATGATGACACCAAGCAGCATGCGAACCGCGATGAGAAGTCCCGAGGAGTTAGCTCACAAAAGAGCCAGAGAAAATCGGCTAATAGTGTAGTACTTTATTAAAGGTACAGAGTATCCACGTGGAGAGTACAAACATACAGTACAAATATGCATGCATAAAAAAATGCTACCTATCCTTTCCGAGCAATTGCAGTAGTCTATGTAGTAGGATTACTCTAAAAGTCACTTCACTTCTGTTATAGCTATTCTGCAATTTCCATAACAAACAAGACAGGCATTTTCTGTTTCAATGTTTTTAGTAAAGTTTCCAAAATACCTTAACAGCAATGTATTCAGTCTTCAAGTGAATAATCAAGTGAGGTCCCGCAGAGCAGGCAGAAATGCAACCAAAAGGTAAATGAGCGAAGCGCTGATAACAAGAATACCGGTCAAAGAAAAAAGGCAATGTTATATGAAATTAAAGAGGTTCAGGCAATCTTAACCAAATAACTGTCCCACATTGGGTTAATGCAAGATACCCACAAAGTTAAAAACAAGTAAATGTATTGAATATGACCATTCTTATGCGACACGATTCATGTCCAGTGAGAAGCTGGCAAATCAATATTATTAAGAAATAGAAAAGGAAGGAAAGAAGAAAAGGAGACACATCCTGCTGAAACTCCCAGTTCCACTGGCACCTTAAAGTGATACTAAAGGCTTGTTTTATTTTTTTTTAAGGAACAAACATGTCATAGTTACCTGTTCTGTGCAGCGGTTTTGCAAAGAGCACCCCGGATCCTCCTCTTCTCAGGTCCCTCGCTGGCGCTTCTGGCTCCACCCTCCTGTCGGGGTACCCCACACAGCAAGCAGCTTGCTAAGGGGGTACCCAAGCAGGCGCGCTTCTGAGTCGCGTATCCATTCACACACATTCCTCCTCCCTCTCTTCATTGGCTCACTGGCAGCGGGAGCCAATGACTGCCTCAGCCAATCAGTAGTGAGAGTCCCCGGATTACTGAGGCTCTCGTGGACATCGCTAGATCGAAAGGGGGTTCAGGTAGGTGTTTGGGGGGGGAGGGGAGTTGCTACACACAGAAGAACATAGCACATAGAATGCATGAAGGTAAAAAATATTGAACTTTTAGAACCACTTCCAGCCCTTGGGCAGGGGGTGGAAGATATTTTATCAATGAGTCCCAAATCCTCTGAATCCTTAAGGAGGGGTGTCTCTCAAAATGCTAACCAACCTTTCATTGGTCATTATCCACGTTAGTTTCCGTTTCATCACTGCCAAGTCTACGATTGCACTCTTCCAGGCAGTTGTGATGACTATTTTAGCTACTAGAAACATAAAATATATGAAGATCTGAATGTGTTTGGGTACCCCTTCAATAGGTTCATTGTGCAAGGCCACTTTGGGATTCTTATCCATGTTTATCATGTCCACAGAATAAATCAGGGCGTAATTTCTCATCCTAAAATTCTTAGCCTTAGTGCAAGACCACAGCAGTGCGGAAGTGTGATGGTGACATTACAGTTGCGGTCGGATTGATGAATTGTATGAGAGTGGATGGTCCGGAGAAGTGTCGACTGGCTGTGTGAACTTGGCTACCTGTCCCGTCCTATCACCCAGTGTGTGTCCTGTACCTCCTCCATGAGCGCTGTTCAGTGGTTGATAGCGGTTTCCTTACAAACTTGAGAAGAACAACAAATTGCCCTGCAAACCGAGGGACAATCTACAGCAAATTTTGTGGAAAACCCTTCCATTGGAGCATCTTTCTGAAAGGTGGAGGTCCCTATTGGCAGGATATTCATTATCCAAAAAAGCGTTATTGACTCTTAAAACGTTTGAGAGTCCATTACATTTGGTGAGTGAAATATATATTGGTTGTCACAGAGGGTGTCAATACACTGAAGTTTCCTTTGCACGAGATCCATCACTATTTCTTTTGGAGCACATTGAATGTGGAACATTTTTTTTGGATTTGGACTTTGTTTTGATTTGGACACTAATATCATTTTAGATTTTTTTATATATTTATATTACGTTTTTGTGCTGTGTTTAAATTTAGACACTATTATTATTTATGTTTATATAATTTTTTTGTGCTGTTTTTTCTTTTTTACACATTTTTGTTTGATTATTGATCAACAAGGAGCAGCAGCATTGGTTGGTGATTTAAAATTTGGCACCGGTTTTAGTTGATTATTCACTTGAAACATTGTTTGATACAACATTGTCATTTGTGAGATGCTCCCAAAAGAAAACTGATGTACAGTGAGGAACAGAAGTATTTGAACACCCTGCGATTTTGCAAGTTCTCCCACTTAGAAATCATGGAGGGGTCTGAAATTCACATTGTAGGTGCATTACAACTCTGAGAGACAGACTTTAAAAAGAAAATTCAGGAAATCACAATGTATGATTTTTAAATAATTTATTTGTCTTGGACTGCTGAACATAAGTATTTGAACACCTAAAAAACAGCAAGAATTCTGGCTCTCAAAGACCTGTTACTGTGCCTTTAAAAAGTCCACCTGTACTCCACTCATTAATCTAACTTAGTAGCAGCTGTCTGAGCTCTTTAAAGACACCTGTCCACCCCACAGTCAGACGCCAACTACTACCATGGGCAAGACTAAAGAGCTGTCAAAAGACACCAGAGACAAAATTGTGGACTTCCACAAGGCTGGAAAGGGCTACGGGGCAATTGCCAAGCAGCTTGGTGAAAATAGATCAACTGTTGGAGCAATTGTTAGAAAATGGAAGAGGCTAAAGACGACTGTCCGTCTCCCTCGGACTGGGGCTCCATGCTAGATCTCACCTCGTGGGGTATCACTGATGATAAGAAAGGTGAGGAATCAGCCCAGAACTACAAGGGAGGAGCTGGCCAATGACATGAACAGAGCTGGGACCACAGTTTCAAAGGTCACTGTCGGTAGAACACTACGCCGTCATGGTTTCAAATCATGCATTGCACGGAAGGTCCCCCTGCTCAAGTCATCACATGTCCAGGCCCGTCTGACGTTTGCCAATGACCATCTGGATGATCCAGAAGAGGCATGGGAGAAAGTCATGTGGTCAGATGAGACCAAGGTAGAACTTTTTGGTCTAAACTTCACTCGACGTGTTTGGAGGAAAAAGGATGAGTTGCATCCCAAGAACACCATCCCTACTGTGAAGCATAACATAAACATCATGCTTTGGGGGTGCTTTTCTGCGAAGGGGACAGGACGACTGCACTGTATTAAGGAGAAGATGAATGGGGTCATTTATTGTGAGATTTTGAGCAACAACCTCCTTCCCTCAGTCAGAGCATTGAAGATGGGTCATGGCTGGGTCTTCCAACATGACAACGACCCGAAGCACACAGCCAGGATAACCAAGGAGTGGCTCCGTAAGAAGCATATCAAGATTCTGGAGTGGCCTAGCCAGTCTCCAGACCTAAATCCAATAGAACATCTTTGGAGGGAGCTGAAACTCTGTGTTGCTCAGCGACAGCCCCGAAACTTGACAGATCTAGAGGAGATCTGTGTGGAGGAGTGAGCAAAAATCCCTGTTGCAGTGTGTGCAAACCTGGTCAAGAACTACAGGAAATGTTTGACCTCTGTAATTGCAAACAAAGGCTTCTGTACCAAATATTAACACTTATTTCTCAG